GCGGACATGCCCGCGCAGCGCGTCTGGCAGCAGCTGCCCTGTGGCAGCGTGCAGCAAGCAGCCGTGCAGCTCGTAGTCGCTGGTGGTGGCGGCGCCCGCGGCCGTCACCACTACGAGGCGCGGCGCCTATGTGACATGTCTCGGACATGTCTCGGGCATGTCCTGGACATGTCCTGGACGGCACCACCACGAGGCGCGGCGCCTATGTGACATGTCTCGGACATGTCTCGGGCATGTCCTGGACATGTCCCGGACGGCACCACCACGAGGCGCGGCGCCTATGTGACATGTCTCGGACATGTCTCGGGCATGTCCTGGACATGTCCTGGACGGCACCACCACGAGGCGCAGCGCCTATGTCACATGTCTCGGACATGTCTCGGGCATGTCCTGGACATGTCCGAGACATGTCCTGCCACGAGGCGCGGCGCCTATGTGACATGTCTCGGACATGTCTCGGGCGTGTCCTGGACATGTCCTGGACGGCACCACCACGAGGCGCGGCGCCTATGTGACATGTCTCGGACATGTCTCGGACATGTCCTGGACATGTCCTGGACGGCACCACCACGAGGCGCGGCGCCTATGTGACATGTCTCGGACATGTCTCGGGCATGTCCTGGACATGTCCTGGACGGCACCACCACGAGGCGCGGCGCCTATGTGACATGTCTCGGACATGTCTCGGGCATGTCCTGGACATGTCCGAGACATGTCCTGCCACGAGGCGCGGCGCCGGCTGCAGCGACTTTTTCCAGACTTGCTCCTCGTGCGCCTCGCGAGCGAAGTGGAGCACCGCCATGACCGAGCCGAGCTCGTGGATCACGCCAGAGTCGAACGGCAAGTCTGCAGTGCCGGGTTCGGGTACCGTGGGGGTGGGGTAGGGGGTGTGGCTCGGGTACCTTGGGGGGAGGGGATGCCAGACCCGAATGGCAGTCTACAGGTTCGGGTACCGTGGGGGTAGGGGGTGGGTTCGGGTACCTTGGGGGTAGGGGATGCCAGCGTCGAACGGCAAGTCTACAGAGGTCACCGTGGCCCCGGGAGGTCTACTCCAGTGTGTGTGTGTGAGAGGGGGTACACTCCACGCCACGCATTCTACACCGCTCTGTGCGCACGCGTCCTGTGTGCGGCGGGCGTTGGTTCTAGATATTTGTCGGGAGGGAGGGGCAGGCCGCTCACCGGCGCGCAGCACCCGCGCCGTGCCGACATGCATCTCGCCGCCTGTCCGGCCCGGGCGGGGAGATGCGGGGAGATATGGGCGAGATGTGGCGAGAGATGGCGAGAGATGTCCAGGCGGAGGGGGGGGGGGGGGGGCCTTGCCGGTCCAGGCAGGCTAAAAAGGAAGGGGCTTGGTGGCCGGTGTCCCCCCCATTCAGGGGCAAAAAATGGGAAAATACCGGAAAATGCGGGGAAATGCGGGA